CTGCTGCTGCTGCTGCTGCTGCTGCTGCTGCTGCTGCTGCTGCTGCTGCTGCTGCTGCTGCTGCTGCTGCTGCTGCTGCTGCTACAACAACAAAATAATTATAATAAAAATAGTAATAATAATGTAAGTAAGGTATGAAAGGTTTTTTCTACTGTAGTTACCTTTGTTAAAATAACTTGTGCACATTCATACAAATTAACGTTTATTTTTTAATGAACTATGAGAGAACTCACTGAGAACCACAGTGAGTTGTTTTATAGTAATGGACGTAGCAGTAGTCAATAGCATGTCGTCCCTAAACAACCAGTTTTAATGCTGCCCTGAATCTTCCACTCACCTAACCACACCGCCGCTCAGGTGATTTTCTGTCTCTATAAGTTCATGTCTTCCAACACGATGGTGCTTATATTCTGTTTCCTTTCAACAACCTGTCGGTAGCACATTTCATTTTTAACAATAGAATAAATATTAGTTATCCTTGAAGAGACCTATGTGTACCAACGTGTACGTATGTGTGAGAGTGTACGTGTACGTGTACGTATGTGTGATAGTGAGCACGTTATTAATTTAACATCTTTTACTGCCTCGGTTTCTTAGAATGTTATTAAATTTCTTTTCACTGACAAGTGAAAATCAGTCATATGAGGGAAAAGCAGAGAGCACAGACATGTATGGGTAAGGCATGCATAGGTATGACAGACAGTTATAGGTAATACACACAGACATAGGTAATGCACAAATACACAGGCAGTGCAGACATAGGTAATGCACTCACACGTGTAACACATACATCATCCGTCTTAGTGCTGGTGGAAATGATATCGGGATGGGCAGGAGACAAGAGCTGCTGGATATGTACCAGTTAGCCACAGATGTAATTAGGTCTTAGGGAGATCCCAATCATATGTAGCATCTTGCCTAGAATGGGAGTGGGCAATGAATGGATGCCTATGGCAATTGGTGTAAATTGCTGGCTAGACAGGTACTGCAAGGAATTTGCAATCCCATTCATTGATAACTAGGACAAATTTTATGGCAAACGTGATATGTATGCAGAGGATGGGGTACATCTCACAGAGGCCGATGTGGTTGCATTAGCCAACTCTACTGAGGGGGCCATTGCTGACTTGTCTAGGACTTCAAACTGATAGATTATAGAAGTATGGGTGTGTGTGGGAAATAATCAAGCTGCAGTACCAGGGTTGAAAACAGCAGATATTACCATGACTCCATGTTTCATAGACAATATTCAAAATAAAGTTGCTTGTAAAGGCAAAGCAATTATTCAATAAACAAAGAGAGACAGTAGAGGGCAGAGAGTGACAAGCTCCCTAAAGGTATTAATGGGAGATTTTAACTTTAGACAAATTGATTGAAAGAATGTGACAGGAAATCTCGAGTCTAGTGACTTGCTTGATACGATTCAAGATTGCTTTTTAAAACAGTTTGTGACAGAACCAACTAGAGGAAACAATCTGCTTCACTTGGTTTTTGACAACAAGGGAATCACTAATTAATAATCTTAACGTTAATGATGAGCTTGGGGAAAGCGATCACAAATCACTTACTTTCAATATACCATGGAATTACGCAAATCACCAAAAATGATCCAAAATGGATAAACAATAGATTCAAACATCTCATTGTTATCAAAAGATTGGCAGTTAAGAAATCAATATATTCAGTTAAAGAGAGAAATAAAAAGGGGAATAAGAAAAGCAGAAATAAATTATGAGGCTAAAGTGGCAAGGAATTTGAAGACAAGCCCAAAAAGTTTCGTTTCAGGTACACAGAAGTAAAATTAGGGCCAAGATAGCGCCACCTGAAAGTTACTCAGGTCAAATCACTGACAGTGATAACGAAATGTGAGAATATTTTAACTCAGACAAATAGAGAAATTAAAACCGAATAAATTCACGGGCCCTGATGAACTGTTTGCACGGGTGTTAAAGGAATATAAAGAGGAGCTTAGCAAACTTGTGACTAGTCTTTTCAACATATTACTACAAACTGGCATAGTGCCGGACAAGTGGAATATGGCAAATGTAATACCTATTTACAAAGCAGTAGAGAGGTCCTTAGCTTCGAACTATAGACCAATAAGCCTTACCTCCATAGTGGGAAAATTTATGGAATCAATAATTGCCGAGGCAATTCGTAACCATATTGACAGGCGCAATTTGATTAATGAATCTCAGCAAGGTCTTACAAAGGGACGTTCCTGCCATACGAATTTACTTTTTTCACTAAAGTATCAATGGAGAGAAATCAGAGTGGGGGCGGGTCACGAGTGGTGTTCCACAGGAGTCAAGTTGGGCCCTTTGTTGTTCACAATTTACATAAACAACACTGATGAGGAAATAAATAGCGACATGAGCAAGTTTGCTGATGACACCAAAATGGGTCGCCCAATTCATTCTAATGAGGACATTAGAGCACTCCAGGAGGATTTGAATAGATTAATGCAGTGGTCGGAGAAGTGGCACATGCAGTTTAACAAAGGCAAATGCAAAGTTCTAAACATTGGACAGGAAAATAACCATGCCACATATAAACTAAATAATGTAGATCTTAATATTACTGATTGCGAAAAGGATATGGGAGTTCTGCTTAGCAGTAATCAAAAACCAAGACAATAGTGCACAAATGTTCGCAATAAAGCGAACAGAATCCTTGGCTTCATATCAAGGAGCATAAATAATGGGAGTCCTCAGGTTGTTCTTCAACTCTGTATATCTTTGGTTAGGCCTCATTTAGGGCACTGAATCTGCACTCTCTAGAAAGGCGTAGAATTAGAGGGGATATACCTGAGGTGTATAAATGGAAAACAGAAATAAATAAAGGGAATGAAAATAGCATTCTAAAAATATCTAGCCAAAACAGGACTCGAAGCAATGGTTTTAAATCGGAAAAATTCAGATTCAGGAAGGATATAGGAAAGCACTGGTTTGGTAATAGAGTTGTGGATGAGTGGAACAAACTCCCGAATACCGTCATAGAAGCTAAGACTTTATAGGTTAGATAAATACATGAGTGGGTGTGGGTGGGTGTGAGTTGGACCCGACTAGCTTGTGCTAAAATATGATGCTATGTCTCCTAAAGTGGATGTGTCTGTAATCTGATACGTTGGTCATTGGTTAAGCCGGGATGGACTTGGTACCATGCTTGCATGGTGACAGTAGGCCTCTGCAGTGTTTCATTTATAATACATGATGTTTGTAAATAGTTAACACAGACATTGGCTAATAAATCAACATAGGTAACCTAAGACAGTGAAACAATCTAGGTAACACATCATTGGTAAGCACAATTGAACGAATCCAATACAGTAGGTATCACAATTTTATCGTAACACATGACTTGAATACACACACATAGTTAACACAAACAAGTAACGCATGCATAGGTAACCAATCATAGGTAACACAAATACGTAACCCAAACATAGGTACACGTGAGACATATCGTAACACAACATAGGTTAACAAATAGTAACACATGCATAGGAAACAAGGGAAACAAAAGGTAACAAACATATGTAACGAAACATAGTAACACAAAAATAGGTAACAGAATAGGTAACACAACATAAGTAATACAAACATAGGTAACACTAACATATGTAACACAAACATAGGTAACACAAACATAGGTAATTCAAACATAGGTAACATAAAAATAGGTAACACAAACATAGGTAACATAACATATGTAACACAAACATAGGTAACAAACATAGGTAACACAAACATAGGTAACACAAATGCAGGTAACACAAACATAGGTAACACAGATATAGGTAACACAAACATAGGTAACAAAATAGGTAACACAACAAGGTAACACAAACATAGGTAACACAAACATAGGTAACACAAACATAGGTAACACAAACATAGGTAACACTATCATATGCAATACAAACATAGGTAACACAAACATAGGTAACACAAACATAGGTAACACAAACAAAGGTAACACAAACATAGGTAACACAAACATAGGTAACACAAACATAGGTAACACAAACATAGGTAACACAAACATAGGTAACACAAACATAGGTAACACAAAACAAATGGTAAACACAAAACATAGTAACACAAACTATAGGTAACACAAACATAGGTAACACAAACATAGGTAACACAAACATAGGTAACACAATCATAGGTAACACAATCATAGGTAACACAATCATAGGTAACACAAACATAGGTAACACTATCATATGTAATACAAACATAGGTAACAGAAACATAGGTAACACAACATAGGTAACACAATCATAGGTAACACAAACATAGGTAACACAAACATTCGTAACACAATCATAGGTAACACTATCATATGTAATACAAACATAGGTAACACAAACATAGGTAACACAAACATAGGCACCACAAACACAGGTAACACAATCATAGGTAACACAAACATAGGTAACACTATCATATGTAATACAAACATAGGTAACACAAACATATGTAACACAAACATAGGTAACACAATCATAGGTAACACAAACATAAGCAACACAATCATAGGTAATACAAACATAGGTAACACAATCATAGGTAATACAAACATAGGTAACAAACATAGGTAACACAAACATAGGTAACACAAACATAGGTAACATAAACATAGGTAATACGAACATAGGTAGCGCAAGCATAGGTAACACAAACATAGGTAACACAAACATAGGTAACACAAACATAGGCAACACAAACATAGGTAACACAAACATAGGTAACACAAACATAGGTAACACAAACATAGGTAACACAAACATAGGTAACACAAATATAGGTAACACAAATATAGGTAACACAAACATAGGTAACACAAATACAGGTAACACAAACATAGATAAACAAACATAGTTAACAATTAGTTAATTAGTTAACATTAGTAACACAAACATAGATAAACAAACATAGTTAACAATTAGTTAATTAGTTAACATTAGTAACACAAACATAGGTGTTACCTACCACACTGGTGCTCATCAGAGTTGTCTCCACAGTCATCCACAAAGTTACACATGGCGTCAGAGGGAACACAGAGATTGTTGGTGCATTTGTAATGTGACTCTGGACAAACCCACGTCTCTGTCAAGGAAAAGACAAAGGTACACTGTGAGCGAATAGCACTACAGAGGTACAGAGGCACAGTGTTCTGGAAGCAATGGTTCTCATGCTAGTACAATTGTTAATGAATGAGACATTTCGTCACACAGTGGCTTCATCAGTCCACTGCTGAGAAAGGCTGGGGGACTGATTACTTATAACTTCTCCTCATCCTCCACCTTTCTCAGCATTGGACTGAAGAAGCCACTGCCTGGCGAAACACTTCCAGATTAAAGAGTCCCAAATGTTTCACAAGTGTCTCATCAACTTGTTGTTTTTTAAACCATTTGTTGGTACAGTTGTACCAAGACTACTCATGTAACAGTTGTACTTAAAGCGTTTTTGTACAGGCATAACCCTGCGTTACAATACTCATATAGAAACATTTGTACCAAAGGTACCGAAAAGGAAGGTGTCGTTGAAGGTATATTGATCCGAGGAATTAAAGGTACCCTCCCAATTCCCGGATCAAACCTAATTACCTGTCATTCAGTAGGCTCTGTGTGACCCACACGTGTCTAGCGCTTCCCGTGTAAACAGTAATAATAATGAAGATCGAAGCAGAGTTGTACCTAAATGAACAGTTTCTGGTACATTTGTACCTAAATGAACAATTGCTGGTACAAATGTCCCTAAACGAGCAGTTAATGGTACAATTGTACCTCGATTAAAGGGTACAATTAAAGGGTACAAACGTTTTTTAATGTACAATAACTGGAACAATTTTCCTAAATGTACAATTACTGTTCAAAAGTTCCTAAATGAGAGAGTTGCATCTCTCAGTATATTGTATACACGAGAATTGTATATTTCTCAGAGTATACACGCACAACGAGACGTAGTATGCCTTTCAGTGTACATACACCTAGAAGAGTAACTCTCCGTGTATAGACACAGAGAGATTTTTTTTCTCTCTCTCTCTATCTCTTCTGTCTGTCTGTCTGTACTTTTTTACACAGGTTTTGACAAGGTTAGGTTAAGGATTCCTAACTTTAATGACAAGCTATTGACAAGTTAATTTTAAGGATGTCTGTCTGTGTCTGTGTCTCTGCCTGTCTGTCTCTTTTTTCTCTCTCTTCTGTCTGTCTCTCTCTTTTTTCTCTCTCTTCTTTTCTTTTATAACACAGGGTTTGACAAGGTTAGGTTAAGGATCCCTGGCTTTATTGACAAGCTATTTACTGGTTAAGGATTCCTAACTTTATTGGCAAGCTAAGAGCTGTTACTTACTTCAGCTCATTTGAAAGCATTTTTATTGTCATGAGACATACAAGTAGGGAACAGGATGAAGTTGGAGCCGTCTGTTGGAGACATCTCTCTCTCTCTCTCTTCTCTCTCTCTCTCTCTCTCTCTCTTCTCTCTCTCTCTCTCCTCTCTGTCTGGTCTGTCTGTCTATATTTCTTCTGTCTGTCTGTCTGTCTCTCTCTCTCTCTCAGTTACTCACCACAGTGTTGTTCATCCTCAGCTTCATCACAGTCAGCTACGGTGTCACATCTCCTCAGCACGTCGATACAGGCGTTCTTACACTGGTACTCGTTGGTCAGGCAGCCTGTGGAGCCAGAAAAAAATAAGAAAAAATAAGCAAAATTGGATACATCTGCAACGTGCTGCTGCTATATTCTACCTGACAGTTATACCGTATAATCAATAGCTGTTTATGTTTTGCTGTCAGTTTCCATCATACAGGATGTTAAAAATCTGTCAGCCTGAGCTGATGATGACTTGGGTTGAAGAATGAGAATATCGTCATGAGAATGAGAATATCGTCATGTATTGCATTAAAGGTTCATCAGCAACGTCAGGTTCAAATGTTTCCTTCCAGCAGAACTACAGTTACTGTTACATGGGACACATGCTGTTTCTCTGAATGGTCTCTCCCTCGCACAGGAGGAATGGATTATGGTGAGGGGTCAGTGTGGGAGTGAGGGAGAGTGTTGGAGAGGCTGGGGTCTGTGTGGGAGTGAGGGAGAGTGTTGGAGAGGCTGGGGTCTGTGTGGGAGTGAGGGAGAGTGTAGTACAGGCTGGGGTCAGTGTTGGAGTGAGGGAGAGTGTAGTACAGGCTGGGGTCAGTGTTGGAGTAAGGAAGAATGTTGGAGAAGCTTGGCACCAGTTTCGGAATGAGAGGAAAGCGTTGATGAGGCTGGGCAGTCTGAGTGAATGAGTCCTGCAGCGGCTGTAGATCAGTGGGGAAGCGAGGGAGAGTATTGAAGATGCTAGACGGGCAGTGAGGGAGATTGTTGGGGAGTCTGGGGTTAGTGTGGTAATGTTGCAGAGACTGCTGGTGAGTGTGGAAGACTGTTGGAAAGACTGAGGGTCAGTACGGGAGAGTGTTGGAGAGACTGTATGTCAGTGAGAGAGAGTGTTGGAGAGACTGCGGGTAAGTGATAGTGTTGGAGATATTGAAGATTCAATCATTCCACAGAACTGAAGAACAATGAATCAGTTTGAAATAGTTCATACTTTTAAAACTGTACCACTTGTTCATTAGCTACCGTTTTTTATTGTACATATGACTGTAGTTAACTATAAGAAATCGTACCTAATAGTCTATGTCCAAATCTTAAGTAATATTAAACATTAGGCTAGATTAGTTTGCCTGAAATGCATTGCACATTAGTGGTTTTCTTTTGTGCTTATCATTGTTTAATGACTTGTTAACTACATTATTTATGCAATATAAAGAAATGATAATTATATTGTTTTGTTGGAGACGCTACGGGTTTGTGGGGTAGTGTAGGAGAATGCTGGAGAGGCTGGGGTCTGTTGGAGATTGTGCGCGAATGTTGGAGACGTTGTTGGGGATGGGGGGGTGAATCAGTGTGGGAGAATATTGGAGAGCCTGAAGGGTCTGTGAAGAATTGTGTGTGAGAATGTTGGAGAGGCTGGGGGTCTATTGGGCAGAATAAGTAAGTTTATTTAGGTACAGGTACACTTAAGTATAGTCAATATACATAATGTAAATTGCATAGGATAACCTAAAAAAAAAGTCGGAGGCTGGGCAGGTCTGCGGGGGAGTGTGGGATAGTATTGGAGAGGTAAGGAGGTCAGTGAGTTAGTGATGGAGAGTCCTTTCGTAACAGGTCTCTCAGAGTCTGCTTCATGGTGTCACCCCGGGCAGACAGGTTAAGAGACGCTGCTGGTAACCAGTTTCTCATCAGCAGTTTTGAACCTTGTTTCTAGGAGCTTTGGCTAAGTGTGCCATGGCAGAGTACAGCACACTGTGGATCGTTGCTTTTAATTACATTGCTGACTTAATACACTGAAAGAGAGAGAGAAAGTCAGTCGTCTCAGAAGGTCTAAACGACATGTCGTCTGGGCGTGCAGTGACTCCGGCCATCACACATCTGACATGAAGACTGGTGTGTATACACTAGGTAGTGTGTGAACTGTGTTGTTTTTGGGACTTAGCAACTGCGGGACGACGTTGGGACTTATTATTTTGATGATCCAAGATGGTGGTTACTTTGCTCTACTTTCTTTGCGGATTTTGTTTGCTAACAGCTGAATAGTGTTTGCTGACAGCTGAACCGTGTTTGATGACAGCTGAGCCGTGTTTGCTGACAACTGAGCAGTGTTTGCTGACAGCTGAGTCGTACTTGCTAACAGATGACAGGTTATTGACTTACTGTAACCACGTGAGAGAGAGAGAGAGAGAGAGAGAGAGAGAGAGAGAGAGAGAGAGAGAGAGAGAGAGAGAGAGAGAGAGAGAGAGAGAGAGAGAGAGAGAGAGAGAGAGAGAGAGAGAGAGAGAGAGTTACTTCTTACTCCTTTGTCATTTATCAAATATTTGTACCTTTGTAGAACATTATCACATATGATCACTGCAGAGCATTTCTTTGTGCAGTGCACAAAGAAATGCTCTGCAGTGAAAAAAAATAATTTTACCTGTATTTTGTTTGATCAATGTTTTCCATTTGTCCCATTAATTTATGATTTTCAGTAATGAGATTTTTGTTCGCAACAGTCACTGCTTTCCTCGCAACAGTCACTGCTTTGTTTACAACAGTCACTTCTTTGACCACAAATCACTGTTTACAACAGTCACTGTTTTGACCCCAACAGTCACTGGGGATGATTTAATGAGACTATGTGGTAGGATCAACGGTACTATGGGGATAGATCACTGGGAATATGGGGTATGGGTCAACCAGACTATACGAGGTATGATCAGAGCTTTGGTAAGATGGGGTAAGAAGAAGGATGAGTAAGGATGGAAATATGGGAAAGGGTTGGGAGGGTGGAGAGGAGGTGAGGTAATACAGCTAAGAGGCCAAACCACTTTGGCGCATTTTATACATGTGTGTGTGTGTGTGTTGCGTTATTCATGAATATATGAAATTCATAAGATAGGTATACCTCCTGCCCATCAGTGCATACAGTTATACCAACTGTATACTTGCATGCCGATATGTTGGAAGGATGCATACTATTTGCAATTGCATTTTTTTGCACAAGAGGTCGGCTGTAAGGCCGCTGCTGCAGATGGTAGTTGCAGGGCGTTCGGTGGAGATTGACTGCTTACACGGAGATGGTTGGTTAAGTAGTTTCTGAGGTTGAGTCCTGTCGTAGGATGTTTGCAGAAGTTACGAGGTTAATTGTAAGGTGTAGATTGATATAAGTAGGTCTCCCAAAATTAGGGTGCATTTATCCTTGTTGTTGGAGATAGAATGGTTCTGGTAGTATTCATTCTTCTAGTTCTTCGGGGAGGTCACTCAGGATCCTTGGTCGTGGGAAGTTCTCCTTGTGAATGAAGCGTTGGACTCTATGTTGGAGGGTCATCCAGTGAGTTCTGTGGGGAGGTGTGTTGATGATGTAGTCGGCGGTGTTCATTGGTTGGGGAGGGTTTTCTCTGTCTGGTATATAGAAGAATGGATACCACAAGAACCATTCTATGTCCAACAACAAGGATAAATGCACCCCAATTTTAGGAGACGTACTTCTATCAATATACACCTTACAATTAACCTTGTAACTTCTGCTCCAGAGTACACACACCTCCCTCCCCCTACCATCAAAACCCCTTCTTCTCCATCTCCTTGGATCAATACCATCCCTTCCCCTTACGCACTCCATGCCCCACCTTCTATGGGGGAAGGTCATTGGGAATCTAGAAGATGAAAAATCTGTTATATAGCAACCCTTCCTCCTAATATCTATATCCCTTTTTTATATAGGCTTTACTGCATATTTCTAAGTTATTCTAGGTTTACTTAGGTTACGTTGGTTACAACGGAAAAACTGAATATAAGATACTTAAGAGGCGATAAAATATTCTGATGCGAGAACAGACAGCGCGCAGCTGGTGCCCACCACTTTTATAAATATGTTATATTTCCACTGTTGAAGGCTGTGCTAAGTGCCATTCATGTGACTGTTTTCACAACAGTGCCATGATGTTTGTGGTAAAGAGGAAGGGTTAACATAGGGGATGGGATAACATAACTGTTGGCGAGAATTCAACTGGATATAGTGAATGAGTCCAACTGATAATAAGACAACGGGATTATATGACTAATGTCAACGTTACTGTGAGTGAGATAATGAGGGATGAGTGAGGATAGATAACTGAATGTTCTACATAAGTTTCATTATAACAGCGGTATAGAGTATCGATCAGTAGATAAATAAGGTAAATGTACAAGACTCTGGTGTCTTTGTTTCCGCAACGTTCAACGTCAGCAATAGGCTTTTTCAGTCGATGTTGAAAATGGTATAAAATACCCATAACCTGATGATTAAGACACATGTGCATCAGTTGGGTATCTTTACTGTTGAAAATTTTAACCTACACAGTAAGCTTCTTCCGTCAGATACAAAGGCAGCAGGTGTAGTAGTAAAATTAAATTATGTATTCAGTCCATCAACCTTCACTTCAGCATAACACTGCTGCCTCTGTATATGACTAAAGAAGCCTATTGTGTAGGAGAATAAACATGCCCAACTGTTGCACATATTCAGTTAAATAGAGAGGTGACTAAAATTAGAGACAACATATGCATTGATCAGTCCATCAATCACCAGTAGTTCTGAGGTGGTCAGTCCCTCAGTCTTTTAAGATGTGTCTAGCTTCAACTGTGAGGTTGAACACTGTGCTCACGGAGCTAGACGTGTATCAAGGCTGAACGACTTATCAACTTAAAACTACGTCGTCAGGGACAACTGACTTTTCACATCATCTTATCCACTGCTTCTGCTGAAAAAGCCTACTGCTCAGGCGACACGTTTCGGAAACAAAGATACCAGAGAGTTGTATGTGTGATTTATTCATTTACTCATGTTTGTCAGCCTATAACTGAGTTTGTCTGCCTATAACAAAGTTTATCTGCCTATAACTATGCTTTTTTTTTCTCCTATTACTAAGTTAGCCAGATATTCAGTTTCCCAAATCATAGCCTAACATACTAGATTCTATACTGCTAATTACGGTTTCAAATACCAGATCCTATACATGTAATTATTCTCTAATCCTTCAACTCATTATAGAATGGGACGCAAATCAGAGCCGAGAATTCTGAGGAATTATGGTGGAAAATCGCCAGATATTGAAGT